TCAGGTGATGTGACTATTGCCTTTTTATCTTGTCCGCCGAAAAATTGCCATTTCCTATCAAAACTATCTTTAATAAGCAGCATGTGGCCACTTATTAGAACTTGACTGTTATCATTTATAAGATTATGTATTTATATATTTATTTGTTTGTGTGTGTCTATTTCTTAGCCCGTAGCCCTAGTTTTTATATCCTCGGATCAGCTCACCTTTTAGTTAATAGACCTACATTTTTCTTGGCTTCCAGAAGCTTTACCTTTAGCAAAATGATTAATCCCTTCTCTAATCTGTTTTCACATAGCTTAAGGACCTATTGGCCTTGACAACAGAATGCACATGCAATGATGCAATCGTGTTTTAAGTTTCACCAATAGGCTGAGAGTCTTATTGAATAAGTCGGATCAATTCCTGTGAGCACACAAGTCTTTGGCATAGCTTACTCAAAATGTATTCTTAACCATCGGATCGTGTTCGGCCATCTAAAATTTTTATTAATGCTATTGTTCCTCACGATAATCTGCGGCTTAGGCCATAAAATATTCTTTTATATTTTCTTCTCTTTCCTCTCTTCGAATGCTTTTTTTTAATCAAGGCTCAGAAATTTAATACTGTCTATGCTTACGACTATCCTGCACTGCTGGGACAAGCATTGACCGAAATTTGGCAGACATATCGCCTTCCTTCTGATTTACGTGTTTGGTCAAACGGGAGCCGGATTGATTCCGTATTCGGTATTCACAATTTTACTTTACCGAGCTCATCCTCCTTCAATGCCTCAGTTCAAACTAAGCCAGCAGGGACTGATCCACTTTCCGGGAAAAATGATTTTCAAAATAGCTTACCTGGAAGTGGTCATTCGCACCGGCACTCGTTGCGTCTTGGCAATCCTAAGCATCATCTCGTTCATCATTGGCACTCTACTCACCAGCATAGTGGGAACTGTCCGGTCCGTCAGCAAGCAAATCTGACCCAAGAGTTTGGATCACGTCGTGCTTTTGGAAAACAATTCACTTCTACTGGTCGGAGTGTGAATGAAAGGTGGGCGGAATGAATAACTGCTGAGGGATACATGCGAGCAGATAGACTGATTGATCTTTTGGTTGGCTTTTTTAAGTAAACATTTATTTGGTTGGCTGGTCATATGTATCGCGTAAATGTTCTTTTCTCTTATTTAGTTCTTACTGGTCTCAGCTCGGATATGTCGAGGGCCTTGGCAATCTAGGCGAATACATCATTGAGTGCATTGAATTAGGACTCAATACAGACGGCTTTCTTTGTCCAGTCGGCACTCGGATGCCTGGCAGCAACGATGTGAGTGCTTATTCCCCCTTTACATGCTTTTTCTATTTTCAGTTTCACCAGAAGTCAACAATAAGTTGGGCTTTATATCGAAGCTTACTGCGCTGATTTGTTCAAATTTCATCTTATTCGAATTTCTACTTTTTTCCTTCCTTTGCATCTATTTGTTTTTTTTTCGCACTTCGAAGAATATCAAAAGAGGCAGAACCAGGCTACTCGCTTTATACTTTGGTGCTCATATCTGCTCACACCATGTTACCTATTTGGCACGACAATAAGCCATGGAATATTTTGTTTTGCTTTATATTTCGCCTTAAGGTTCAGACTCCATTAATGTGAAGGCAACAAAGTAAGCGTAGTCATGAAGACCCAAATGGTCGCGTTCTACAGCAAGACAATGTTAGATTCTAAATGTTATCATTAAGATCTTGGTAGACAAGACTTAGACCTAGAACTTGTGAAAATTTTGTGTTTCCAATTATAATATGCATAACTAAGATTTCTCATCATCTTTTGCAAAATAAAATTCAATACCCTGCATACCATAAATTTTATATAAATTCATGTTGGAGTACCTTTTATTTCGTTTGAAGAAGTGAATGGAAGAGATTAGTAAGTTGGTCCCACCGGAGGCTGTGTGGGGGACTTTCACAATTTTTTACTTGTTTATCTTGAAACCTATTCACACTCCCCGCTGGTCTCCACATTCCTCCCACTGCCGGGAGTCTTGATCCAAGGCTTCGGTTTAATCCGCAATCCCCTATCTTCGGGTCTTATCAGAGTCCCTTGCTCGCTCCGTAGGATCCTTCCCTTATCTGCTTGTTTCAGTGATTTGACTCCATTGCTGCCACCGTATCCGTGTTACTCAAGGCGCTATGTTCCATACTCTGTCTCAAGCCTTTGATAGAACGTATATACCAGCCTCACTGAGCAAGCCCCTAAAGTCTGATTCTCAATTGGCAATACAACCTAGCTAGCTGCCGCATGCGGCATGTGCACCGAGTAAATCTCGTAGTTAAGCCTTTACTTCATGGACCACGTCTATGAGCAAATTTATCTATTAATAGTCAACTAGAAATGGCCACCATCGTTTCTCTCGCTCTTTTATTACATTCTATTGCGTGCCAACTCCCAAATATGATGGTTCTACTTGATTTGAATAGGCTCACTGTGTGCACCTCTTTGTTTCCGGTTGTTCCTCTGGTTTCCTTATAATTTATTTTCCTTAAATAAAAAAATATTACCCCTGTCAAATCGTCTTCTTTTTGCTGATATTCCTGTTCCCTGATCTTCGCCGAATTTGCTTAGGCAGTATGCAAAGTTTTCGCTAATCCTGTTTTCTTTAAGTCTCCTGTTCACTAGGTTTCTTTCATTCAGGATATTGGTGGCTTCTCGTCATCATCATCTTATATACATTTATGTATAATTTGATGCAAAAGCTCATAAATTTGCCCTCATATCATAAATGCTTTTTTATGAGTACTATTGGCAAAGATGAATAAGTTTGGTTGGATTTGATAACTGACTAAGCAAGTAAAATAAATGTAAACCTAACTAAGCTTCACTATGGCTACCTAGAGACTTGAACAATTATATTTTGTTATTAATCCATCACTGCGGGAGCTGAAAAAACGTTTTTCCTTAACGTGGAGGCCTCTCTTGATCTCTTGATATCTATAGTGAAGTCTAAATGCAAGATTTAATTGTGTTGCCTCATCGTCGTCTCGTCTCACAGACCTTACACGACCTATGCGACTTATTTCGACCATTGTTTTTTGGTGGAATTTTATCAGGCTTCAAGTGGTTCGATCAAGATGACACGATTGAGGTTTTAAGCATTTAAGGGGAAACTTTGTGGCGAAATTGATCGAAGCAGATATAAAATTAGCTTAGATATGAAATTTATTCATCCTATTTGGTTAAGATGATAAAGGAATTGTAGTTGTATTTTCCAACAATGAATTTCACATACCATTGCTTCTCAAAAAGTATTCTCATCCAGGGTAGACTACGGTTTCGACCTCGCCTACGTTCTATCAGCACTTCTAGCGGGATTCGAATCGTAATAGTGCAACGTATAATCTCGATACGTTAACCAGTACCCCATTGCCACGAAATAATGTGAATAAATATCGTAGTAGTGGTAGTCTTGAAATGATAAAAAAGTTATGTAGTCGATTTCTATAGCAAATACACATTAGCTTTATCGGCAATTCCACTACAGAATGTGATTTGGGAAATGCCTGGTCTTCTTCGAAATTCACATCTGCCCTATGACCCAAGGGCACTCATAGCAGTGTGGCGTAGTTGGTAACGTGTCGGGATTATATGCTGCACTATCACGGTTCAAGTCCCGCCGGGGGTGGTGGGGAGACCTAGGCGAGGTCGAAACTGTAATCCATCCTAG